GATTAATGAAAGGTTATCTTAGGACATATAAAGTTGCTTCCCCTATATGCGCCCCCCCCTAGTGGCACAGCGGTATGTCTGCGGACTTACAACGCTAGAAACCGGGTTTCGATACCCCTGGTGGGCAGAGCACAGATAGCCCTTATGTAGCTTTGTGCATAATTAAAAACAAACAAAGAAACAAACTTTATGATAGAAATTAAATTGCTTTGTTTAAATACCGTACTTGTGTTCTTCTGATGAAACTGTTGAGAAAAATAAAATAAAGTATATTTTCTGATGTATAATTATTTAATTATTATAGGAGCATATCAATATTTATTTATTAGCGCTGCTTTTTATATTACTCAAACCTATACAGTATATGATATCTTTAGTTTAAACTCCTATGTTAAATTCCCGCATTTGTCGCGCAAACCTTATCTACGCCATGTTTCGGCTGGCCAATAACGCGTCTTCACTGGCAAACCACTAATCTTGCAAGGTTAATCTCTCATGGCATCGAAATCGAGTTTGTGTGTGTTTCCGCGCGTGTATCTCAAAAACTAATAGACCGATGTACACGAAAATTTTACACAAGATGGGAAGTCGATATGGAACAGTCCTCCCCAAATTTGGTTCCGATCCCAATCTGTATCTAGGTTACTTTTAAGCAATTTTTTATTGTGGGGAAATATGTCATTTTCTCGGTTTGGGGTTACTAATTCTGCAAAGTGTGATCAGATTTGTACCAAATTTCATGGGCACATTAACGTTGAGATTCCCCGCCTCACTACAAAACAATAATCCGGATCGTTGATTATTCTGGATCTAAGAAGGATTTTCTGTGTTTTCGAAGGTGAAATTTGACGTTATCCAATATAAACGCATGCAATCTCGAGAAGGAGCGGCGGGACGAGGGTAGGTAATTTCTGTGATTGTTCTTGTTTTTCTCATTTTCATATAGATCATGCATATCCATTCTAGTTCCTTTAATAATATTCACTTACTTTTATATTTTAATTTCATATAAAAACAAAAATAATATTCTTAATTTAAAAGGGCTCAACATTATTTAAACGTATTAATATATTATTTTAGCAATATAAGCCTCAACGTAAGATAATTTAATTTAGTATTGCCATCTAGCGGTAAAATTCGAGATAAATATCAGGGCCCAGTGTTATTGGATAACATTTTAGTCTTGATAGTGGTGTAGAGTGTGTTTGCTTTTTCTTTTTTAAATTCACCCGAGGTAGAGAAAGACGAAAAGGCGTCATTATGCCAGCATTGTAGGCCATATGTGCAAACATTGTATGGATATTATTAAACAGATGCAGTTCTAATTTTCATATATGCTTCGAAATGTCTCATTTATGTAAGCATAGATTTTTTCGAACAACATGGCACCTGAATACTATTGAACGGACGTGACATAATTCGTGAAATTTACTCTGTACGTGATGGCGACCGTGATGAAGCGACAGCACTCTCGTCGCCGGTTAGCTGCTTTAACGTTTTTATCAAACATATCACTTGATGGGACACACAGAGATACTAAACTTGGAATTTTCAATCGCAATTCACAGGCACACGAAATTAGCAATAAAAGCGAGTTAAACACACGATCAAAACAAATACTAAAAAATGTAAACAGTTCAATTTCACCGGTTAGTAACGTCAGTGAAGCTGGCTGTCAAGTTACCATGGAAGGTCAAGATTATAACCAGGGGAACAAAGATGCAGCAGCGGATCAACAGGGCTGTGAGTCATTTAAAGACAACGAAAAACTTATTACCGCTCTGTCTTTTTCAGCTTCAAGCGTTAATACAAGCCACAGCCCAAAGGAAAATGAAAAGTAAGATTTTTTCGATTAAAACTACAATAAAAAGAAGAAAAATGTAAAATTTTAAGGATTTTGATTTTAACTTGTACAATAATTATGCATTACGTTTGATACTTGAAATTGAATGTTATTGTTACTAAACTTAGGTTGCTTGGCAAAAATAAATAAATAGATAAATTAAGCTCATCCACCTAGGATGGAATACAGAAGGTGAGAACCTTAGAAAAGGCTTGTAGAAAAGAAGAATCAAGATGTGGTTTGAGAAAATCTTGAATCTTCAAAAGGAAGGTCTGGCTGTGGTGACTAAAGCCAAATATATATTAGAAACTTAAAGCTTATGAGAAAAAATATTGTTGCTTGTAATTACACTGGTTATATCCTGCAGTAGTGTTCCGTTTTATTCTGCTATTACAAGAAGTATATTAATAATGTGAAAAAAATAGTGATGTACAAGTGGGGGAAACTGAAACCCTTTCACATATTGTGTCCAAAAAATTCCCTTTCTTGTCATTAACAAATAACCACTTTCAGATAGTCTTGTTCTTTAGGTTTGCTTTCATTTCAGAGAAACTCTTAATCCTGTGGATACCTGGGTCTAGTTATCCTTCAACCCTCCCACCCATCTATCCTATTTTACTTACCAAGTGTCCATTTCTTTTTATTAGAGATCAGTTTCCTGTGAAAAGCCCTGTTGCATGTCACTTTAGAATGGTGTTTATATGTTACTAGTAAGAAACTATTATTTGATATATTTGAAGTAGTTGTCTGGGTTTTGAGTGAAGCATAGAACTAGAAATTGTACATTTCAGGTTTTCATACTTGAATTACATCATCTGGATAAGCTACATTTTGAAATCTAAACTAATAAAAAGACTTTCAATATTACTTAAATAGCTGAGTGTAAAGATAATTATGAATTGGGAAATCATGTAGTCACTAGTGGATGTTAGAAAACATGAGATTAGTATATTTACATTGATAGGCAACTGGAAGTAAGTTTTTTTTCCATATAAATTCTAAAAGTCTTTGCAATTACGCTGTTAGAATTAAGAGCTTTGGATTAGTGTGTTAGATGTTATTAGTAGTAAGTTGAAACTCGGTAGTACTAATACTGTTAGTACTACTGAGTTTCAATTAAATAAAATATCACAAAAACCGCTTTGGAAAATGTTATGGTCTTCTGTAGTAAAAGAAAGGAAGGGGTAATATTAATTATCAGAAATTACTGAAGGTTTTATATAGAAGTGGTATAAATGAGGTTGGCAGAAACTTGTATTGTCTGATCTGAGGTTTCTTAAAAAGAAAAAAAAACTTTTATAAAATATCTGTGGTCCTTGTGATAATGCCATTGACATTGATTGGAACATGTACAGGAAGATCATTTAATCTACAAATAGGTAAAAGCTTATTATTATGGGAGACCTTGATTATAAGGAAATTGACAGGAATGGTCTGTCTTCTTTAAGTGAAGTTGATTACTTTCTTAGGGCTGAGGTTGATTATTTTCTTGCTCAGCATTTGAATAATTGTACTAGGGAAGATGCTGTTTCAAGTCTTGTTTTTACTACAGAGGAGAGATTGTTTAGAAATGTGGCTGTGCAAGAGCATCTTGTTACTTTTGATGTTTTTATTCATGCCAATTATTTAACTCAGAGTTATGCTGCTTATTTGATGAGATATGAAATCTAGAAGAAGCTTTGAGATATAAAGAAGCAGGGGTAATTATCCAAGAAACACTAATAAACTTTGGGATGTTTTAACTACTTCAAATAAACAATTGGAAAAGGAGTGTACACACCTTCCAAAATTATGTGATATAACCAATGATCTATTCCCAAATGGTTGAAAAAAGGATGTTATTAATAAAAGAAAAATGTAAGGATTACAAAAATATGAAATTAACAGGAATAAGAATGTTGTTTTATCGAAATAACCACATTAAGCTGATTAAGGCAAAGAGGGATTATTTAAGTCTGAGTCACAAATCAAATTTTTTGGTCTTTTCTTTTGAGAGTTTTTAAAAGAGACCTTTATGATGGAGTGAAAAGGACATATACCTCAACTGCTAAACATTGTTTTACTCATGATTTGTACTGGTAAAGGAAGGGGAGAGATACCTAAGAAGAAACCATTTTTAGAAAACACCGAAAAACGTCTAAAGTAGTAAGGCTCTAGGCTTAGAAAAGATTTACCCTAAACCTCTGATTATAGAGGCTTTAACTCTATTAAAAAAACACAGCAACATATTTTTACATTGGACAAAATTCATTATGATGGCAAGATAGAAAATGTAATCTCTCTTTATTTGTTACATAGAAAGGGTCTAGAATTTATCCTTTTCTCACTCACCATATAAAGATATAAAAAATCCTACAAGGGAAGATGTCTTATTTTTAATTCTGTTGTGTGCAAGATGTTGGAAACAGTTGTCAAAAGTTAGTTACAGCAGTTGGAAAATTATCTTTTAAAGATCCTTAGCATGTTTTAGAAAGTGGTTTTCTTGCTTTACCAGTTTGTTGGAGTTTTTAATAAGAATTTTATATTTTTTTGGAAGAGGGCACTTTTCTATTATGTCTCTGGATGCTTATGAAAGTTAAAAAAATTATTTAAAAAAAATGTTGGCTTAGTGGTAGTGAGCAAAGTGGTAATAAATGGTGGAATTTTTATGACTAAATGTATGTTTTATGAAGCTGTCAGAGGTTTGTTTTTTATTATTTATTCCCTAATGATTAAAATGGTAGGACTAAGAGAGACAATGAAAAATCTTGGAAGATAACATTCTTCTTCAGCAACGATGGTTTTATTTTTCTAACAGGGTGGTTGGCCTTTGGAGCATGTTGCCTTCATATGTGGTGAATGAATTAAATATAAGGGAGTTTAAAAAAACTTGTTGAATGATAATGTTTTGATTTTTTTTTTAAGTTTTGTTTGGTGGATATGATGGTCTAGGTGGACCAACAAGTCCCATGTTGCCATTGAATTTTATGTTATGTTACCATATTCCTAATTGGTACTCTGTAAAGCTATATGCTTTTCCCAGAAATGTACATTGTGTTTTTCTTTTTTTTTCATTTTTGAACCAGTAAGAGCACTTTGCTAGTTAATTATATATTTTCTGTTCATCATCTTGTATATGTTTTATGGCTAGAACTGAATGCAGATTTTATCACTGGCCTAAGTGCTCTTAAGTATCAGATTTTTATGAACTTATAACCACTGACCTAAATATTAATGATGGTCTTAAGTATTAGATTTTTTTTAAAGTTTTGGTCATTGATATGGCTGTTAATAGTTGTATTGAGTAGCAGATTTTATAGAAGTTTTAATCAGTGACCTAGACTATTATTAGTGGTTTTGAGTGACATATTTTAATGTTTTAATCAGTGACCTAGGTTATTATTAGTGGTCTTAAGTGACATATTTTAACGTTTTAATCAGTGACCTAGGTTATTATTAGTGGTTTTGAGTGATATACTTTAATTAAAACCAAACCACTGACCTAGATATTAATGATGGTCTTAAGTATTGGATTGTTTGAAAGTTTTGATCATTGATATGGCTGTTAATAATTGTATTGAGTAGCAGATTTTATAGAAGTTTTAATCAGTGACCTAGACTATTATTAGTGGTCTTGAGTGATATATGTTAATGTTTTAATCAGTGACCTAGGCTATTATTAGTGGTCTTGAGTGATATATTGTAAAGTTGTAATTAGTGAGTTAGGCTATTATTAGTGGTCTTGAGTGATATATTGTAAAGTTGTAATTAGTGATCTAGTCTATTATTAGTGGTCTTGAGTGATATATTGTAAAGTTGTAATTAGTGATCTAGTCTATTATTAGTGGTCTTGAGTGACATATTTTAATGTTTTAATCAGTGAACTAGGCTATTATTAGTGGTCTTGAGTGATATATTTTAAAGTTGTAATTAGTGAGTTAGTCTGTTATTAGTGGTCTTGAGTGATATATTTTAAAGTTGTTATTAGTGAGTTAGGCTATTATTAGTGGTCTTGAGTGATATATTGTAAAGTTGTAATTAGTGAGTTAGGCTATTATTAGTGGTCTTGAGTGATATATTGTAAAGTTGTAATTAATGACTTAGGCTATTATTAGTGGTCTTGAGTGATATATTTTAAAGTTGTAATTAATGACTTAGGCTATTATTAGTGGTCTTGAGTGACATATTTTAATGTTTTAATCAGTGAGCTAGTCTATTATTAGTGGTCTTGAGTGATATATTTTAAAGTTGTAATTAGTGAGTTAGGCTATTATTAGTGGTCTTGAGTGACATGTTTTAATGTTTTAATCAGTGAACTAGGCTATTATTAGTGGTCTTGAGTGATATATTGTAAAGTTGTAATTAGTGACTTAGGCTATTATTAGTGGTCTTGAGTGATATATTTTAAAGTTGTAATTAGTGAGCTAGGCTATTATTAGTGGTCTTGAGTGATATATTGTAATGTTGTAATTAGTGAGCTAGGCTATTATTAGTGGTCTTGAGTGATATATTTTAAAGTTGTAATTAGTGAGCTAGTCTATTATTAGTGGTCTTGAGTGATATATTGTAAAGTTGTAATTAGTGAGCTAGTCTATTATTAGTGGTCTTGAGTGATATATTTTAAAGTTGTAATTAGTGAGCTAGTCTATTATTAGTGGTCTTGAGTGATATATTGTAAAGTTGTAATTAGTGAGCTAGTCTATTATTAGTGGTCTTGAGTGATATATTTCAAAGTTGTAATTAGTGAGCTAGGCTGTTATTAGTGGTTTTGGTCTTTGGAGGATAAAAAATATATCTACCCTATTTTTCAGTGTATAAGACGCACTTTTTTACCCCAAACTTTGATGTCAAAATCTGCTTGCGTCCTATACACCGAAGGTATGA